TTACAAAACCCTGGAATAATAAATAAAAAAATAAATAAAATAAAATAAAAAAATAAATGAATCAAGCTGGAATAAAATATCAGGGCGTAACTTCTTCAACTAGAATTTCTGTGCATTTAATTATTTTGATCTTAGAGTTTGGCACATAATTTTAATGAAAGAAGCTCAGATGTTAGTACCTAGCCCAAAATGCTATACAGTACCATTGAATTTGTGCAGATAAGGTAGAAGCAGAAGGAATAGCAAGAACACAGAGGTCAGAAAATACAGAAAGTGTATGGAACAACTAGTGGTTCAATTGTGCTGCACAGTAGGATGCTAAAGGGTAATCATGGGGAAAAATACTGGGATAGCTAAACTGAGGTCATATGGGTTAGGATCTTAAATGTTCTGTGAAAGAGTCTGGGCTTTTCTGTAGGCAATACAGAGCCAGGGAAGATATTTGGACATGTACGTAACATAAGTAATCTGCACTTGAAGAAAACTATTCTAGCAGCAACAAACAAGATGGATTTGCAGAAGTGATATTGATTGGAGATGGGACATTCGGCAGAGGTAAAGTTGAACAGATATAAGACTATGTTTCCATTCAGCGGGACTAACAGGATTATGCAGACATGTTCCCAGAAAGCATTCTTTCTGAGATTAATAAGAAATCATAAATTAATTAGTTGGGAAACTGCATGACAGAGTGTTTAATATGACTTACCAGTGCTAATGGACTGGAAGGTCCTTCATCAACCAGAACACTATGGCCACGATTCGTCCTTGGGCCAACTGGGGGATGGGGAGACAGACTTGGCATGTTATTTTCAATAAATCGTCTTGTGTGCTCTCCCTGGAATAGGAAAGTGATTTAGTGAATAGATGCATAGTTCGTAATTGAGGTTTGGTTAATGCCTGACATGTAGGAAATACTATATGACAAAGGGACTCTTTTTTCATTTCTTTCAAGAATGTTACATTTGAGGACTATCCTGGTCATTGGGGAAGGTTTCCACAGCTGTGTTAAGAGAGTTAGGATGGTAAAAAGCAGGAAAGTGAGTCTGCTTTCACTGTGCTAAACGAAATACCTACAAAAGCAGCATATCTTCAGTCTTAGCAATACTGTTTATTAATCTGCCTTAAGATGATCAGTACAAAAAAACATAATATTCTTCACTACTCTCATCAGTAGACTACAAGAAAGTAGTAATTTTCTACCTTAAAAATAATTAAATAATGCCAGTAAGCAAAAAGGGTTTCATATTAAATAAAAGGGACCTAAAATATATCTTGCATCAACTGCAGCTATAAAGTGAAAATTGTTACAAATAAAAATCATATGAGAAGGAACAGGAGTGTCTATAGCAAATCCCTGCCAATGCTATAGACGCCCATGTACCTAGTTTAGTGTGTCTGGTAACCTGGGCAAGCATAGGAAGAACGTGGACATAACAGCTCACGCTGTTTCCGGCAGTATGAATCACTCTTTATTTCCAGCCACCATTTTTCTCCATCAACATTTAAGCAGATAAATTATAGAATCTATGACTCAGTCCTTGATGTAGGACAGTATCAGCAAAGTTGAATTAACCACAAATCTCTACACACCAACTCTTTGATCTTGAAAAAGTGACCCATATTCTGTCATTTAATAACACTTTTGTAACGAGATTATCTTTTGACCCTGATAAAATAGATTTGAGTCTATCAGGCAAGAGGGGGAAATTACTGTCTTTTATGGCAAGTTATTCTGCAGAAGCTTTACAAATATTCAGCAGTTTGTGAAACACGTCTTAGGCCCCACATTTGTAATACTACAGTACACAGAAAATTAAGAAAAACATGTGAGTTTGAATGACACAAAAAACTGAGTAAAACTGCCAACCTAAACTGAAATCCATCAAACATTGAATCTATCTCTGGATTCAAATTTATGTATTTCATAAGTTCACTACAAACAAGGCATATGAAATAAACAGAAAACAAACAAGGAATTTTAAAATGCCTTGTACAAAATGCCTTATGCTTTCTTTTGCTGAAGAAAATCCTTTCCACCACATATTTTCAAGGGTCATGTTCACGTGAAAATGTGCCATTGTGTAATTCCTTTTTTTCCCCCTTGGCACTCTGGAAAACCTACAATAATTCTTAAAAAGCCTGTTTTTCATCACATTGGGAACATTATCATCTATTTTTACCTTAGGACAGACAAAATTCTTTTAGCCTCTATCACAAGAAAATATAAAAGTAAAGTTTTAAACTTGAAAATAACATTTTCAAGTTTGTCTTTGAAAGGTTTGTGTCTTATTAAAATTTATTTTCCACAAATAGCTCCTATTTTTTTTATGACCCTCTATAAAGATGATGGCCAAGATTTAGGCTTAGTGGAACCATCATTTGGCCTCATCTATGTGTTACCCAAAAGTAAGGTGCCTCAGGGAACTTGAATAATAGTATCACTAGTTTTTGAAATCATAAAATAATATTATGAATTAAAAGAGAGTTATGTGGCTCCTTACCTTAAATCTCTGAATTCTCTCCTTCCTAGCTAAGGTTTCCAATTTCTTTTTTATTTCAAGCTGATGGTAACGCTAAGCATACGGGAAAGAATAAAGAAGAGAATCATATCAGTTGTACCAAATAATTTTTTAGAGGAAAATAAGTCCAATAGCTAACTATACTCTCAATTACCCCTGTTGTCATTGAGCTGGAGAAGAATCACCGGCACCAATGTACAACTATTTGGAAATTCAATTCTCAACAAATATTAGGCAGTTAAAAGTGTTCATAACCTTTAACCAGTAAATTTCACTTCTAAACCTGGGGGTAATCTGAACAATAATTTTAAAAAATATTTTATGCACAAAGTTGCTGTCTGAAAGTTTTTTTTTTTTTTTCCTTCAAAGCAAAAAATGCAGATGTATATAAACTTCGAGGAGAATGGTTGCAATTTTGGCACATCCATGGATGAAATAAAATATAATGAATCTTTAAAATAAGGTTCATAAAGATTTTGTTTAAACATAGGAAATGCACATAACGCAGGAAAAAAGCAGGATCCACAATTTCACAGAAATACAATTTAATTGATCAAGTTCACATTGTGTCTGTCCCTATGCTAGGAAGGTTCTTTGCTACCTCATTTCTCTTGAACAACTCTATCTGCCAAAGCAGTCCCATTTTACAAACAAAACAACTGAGGCAGGGAATCACAAACTTGCCCCAGGTCATACATTCATCAATGGGACAGCTGTAATTTGAACCTGGAGTGTTTATTAGCAGTTATCTCTGAAAGAAGGAATTCTATGTGACTATTTTCCTTTTTTATGTTTTTTGTGTGTTTTCCAGATTTTCTGTAATACATTATTCTATACTTTCAAATAAAATATACTTTAAAAAGAAACCTCATGTAAAAACAATCTGCTTACAATTCATTTTGAAATTATTCAGACACATTTGCGGGTGTTTTATTTATTGGTCCTTTGAAAAATGTTTTTCCTCTGTTCTTGATTCCCCTCCTGCTGCCTTTGGGACCCCGCAGACTCAATCATTTCCCGCCCAAGTATCATCAATCCGCATCTTGACACTTCCCTTTCCTCTCTCCCGCTTCCTCTGATCAGTCAGCCACTTATCACCAAACTATTAAATTCACTATCAACCACTTTCCACCTTCCATTTATCCCCAACTCACTACAGTCACCCCCTACCAGGGACCCCTCCTCACCATGGCTGAAACTACTCACTGCCACCCAATGTCTTTGTCTTCTGGATCAGCCTCGATTTCCATTGTTCCCAGTGCTCACCTTATTTACCCACTGCAGCTTGTGAGAGCCTCCTGGCTTCTAGGACACTATTCTATCAGGCACGTTTTTCCCCACTTGAAGGTTTCTTTCCAGCCCATGTTGGTTCCTGATCTCCTGTGGTGCACATATGACCAACCAGGCTAGAACCTCAGTCGCTCTGGGCCCCTTCTCCCTCACCACTCCCTCTTCAGTCAGCTTCAATCTTTCTCCCTCTCCAATTTCTCTGTAGACAGCTGCATCTCCCAGCATTACTGCTGCTGCTGTTAGCCTTCACCCTTTGGCAATAGCTTCCTAATTGACCTCCCACCTCCAATCTTTTCCAGCTCATTAATCCATCTTCCACATTTTTAGCAACATCATCTTTCAAACAGCTCTGCTCATTTATTTCACTCCCCTGCTGAAAAATGTCTCATTACCTCATCGCCTATACCCCAAACTTAGTTGGGAATTTAAGGCTCTCCAGAACCTGGGCCCCACCCTATCAGATAATGTCACTTCCTGCCACTCCTTGCTCCCAATCCACTGTACAGTCTGGCCTCAGTGAGCTTTCCTTTCCATTTGCAACATCCTTTCACACTTCTGCAACTTCATACTTCTGGAATGCCTTTTCTGTGTTTTCTCAGGAACTCCCGCTTGGTCTTCAAGGAGCAGTTCAAACAGCAGGACCTCTGTTAGCTTCCTCTGACTCCCACAGGGGAAAGTCATCCTTCCTTTCTTTTCCAAACTTGGTCTGTTTGTTCCTTGCCTCTAGCACTCAATCACTTTCTACAGTATTTTTTAAAAATTATATCTCACAGCTACAACACATAGCCTCACACCAGCAATGGTAAACCTGAAATTACTGCTTGCTGCATGAGTGAATACACGAATATTAACACAACAATATTAGTAGACAGCATCAGCTTAAACTAAATGTAAGACAAGTGTGATAATTAAATATTTGTTTGATCTATTATATTAATAAATATCTTATAGTTATTATATATTCTATTATATATAAAATATGTTATTTAGTATATTACATATTAACATTTATCTAGGATATTTATTCTAAATTTTAAGAATGCACAAAGATTCTTAAATAATAGCATATTTAACAGTTATCATGTGTTACAATGTTTCAATTGTATGAAATTTTGGAAAACTGAGCTTCAAGGATCAAGGCTAATACTGAACTCAGTGCCTGTTGATTATGTTTGAGACTAGGTATAGGTAAATTTTATGCTGTACTATTTATTTTTTTAGCAGAGTTGAAGAGTTGCAACTAAGACTTATAAGCAAGTGAATTTGAGGGACATAAACAATGATTCTATGTTATTCGTGCACATGATATAAAGCACAAAATGAATTCCTAAATTAACAGATTATACACACCTTCAGTAAACACTCCACTTGCTCACTATAATGGTAGCATAATAATAAATATTTTCAGTGGCATTGCACTTAGTATTGGTTTACTGATGATCCTACAGTTGTTCATAAATGTTTACTGCACTTACAGGTCAATGGTTTTGCGAGCCAAGTTTTCTGATTTACTGCTGTATAGTCAAGCCAAGAAGTGACATACTTTTTCACAGAGATTAAAATGCTGTTCATGCTTGAAACTACAAGTTCTATGGAGCAAGGCTGAAATAATTTATCAAATTAGCTAGATATCCCATAAAAAATGCCCGGTCAAATTAAAAAAAAAATTGTTGATGCTTGGTTGTGAATCTATGTTGACCGATGTGTCCTAAAGTAGGAGGGACAGCAGATGTTAAAATGCCTATTCCTTGAAACTTAACATACGGCTGAGCTTCAGAGCCTTAAAAGAATAACAGATCTGAAATAATTCATGGCTGTGGAATTACTGATATTTAAACAGATGTCACTTTTTTTTTTTAGAAAATGAAAATTGAGGTACAGATGGTGAGGGCTGGTATGTTTTGGAGTAGCCATTGTGGATTAAAAATCTACATTTGGAGAATTAAATATCCCAAAATATATAATGATGTCCATATTTTTCCCCAACTGAAATGAAGAAAAGCTTACACTAGCCTCCTGGCTGCTGGCTGCCCAGAGAGATATACAGTATTTCTTTGTTCCATTTCCTTTTTAATGAAATACAGAAAAAATTTCTCCGCTTTCTGGGTAGAAAAGCATTATTAATTATCATATTAGAAAATATCAATTATAAAGAAAATAGTAAATATTTGTACCTCCATATCAAGAACCTTATGGAAAATAGCCTGGGCTAAGCACTCCCGGATATATTTCTGGTGATCTCGCTTCATGATATTTAGTTTGTATTCTTTTTCAGAAAGTATTCTTCCACTTCTTGTGATCTGTCATGAATAAATAAAACATACATAGAAATATAAAGTAGAAATGTGTTGTTAGTTACCAAAAAAAGGAGGCAGGGAGGCAGGGAGGGAGGAGGGGGAGAGAGAGAGAGAGAAAAGAAGGAAAGAAGAGGGAGAGGGAGAATGTGGCAGTATCTTCTAAGCCTAAAGGAGTATACCACTATGGCTGATACACTTTCCTTTTTAATGAATATTTCATAAGGCAAAAAGGAGAAAGGCAGTCTTATATACCCATCATTGTGAAAACACATGCAGGTGGTGCACTTGACGTTTAAAACAAGGTTTTCATTAGAGTAACAATTTTCCCTTGATGGAACCCAGGTGTTCTTTTCATTTCTCTTTTTGAACACTTTCCGGGGAGACGAGGGTGGGGTGCTACCTTGAAACAATGGACAGGAGCAGCGATCACAGGACTGATGATCTCACAGGAAATACTCTGAAGGGCAAACATGCGAGCTGCAGAGAATATCTTATCAGTTCGTTTTAAAAATAATTGGTTTCATTACTTTGTTTTCCCACTGCTTTTTCTTCTTCCACTCTCCAGCCCAGAATATAATTTAATTTGTTGTGATTCAGAATTTTACATATTATGCAATACTATAGATAGAAGGTATTCAATATTGGTTTCAATTGGCATCATTACAAGTCCCAGGAGTGGCAGTTTCTGTTTTTTATTTACTTATTTCTCTTTTCTTTTAATCTTTCTTACGAGCGTATTTGTTATATTTTTCTCTATCTCCTATAAGCAAAAGGTATTATCCTTCTGAATTGTTCATCTTCTTGTTTTCCACTTATTTAAACTCTGTTCTCTTCTTGAGGTTTAATGCAAGCTATATATTTCTTAATAATT